TTTTATCTACAGATGCAGCGGGTCACCTTCAATGGAGGCAGGACACATGAACGGACAAACCAAACACTGGCTGTTCACACTTCTTGCGTGTTTTGCAGCCACCATAGTTTCTCCTTCGTGCTCAGAAGGGTTGTAATCTTCAACTACACTGCTAAACTTCATTAAATCTGACACACTAGTCCTTTAAAATCAGAATTTTAGACCTTAAATGATTTTGACAAGTCTTAAAATTGATTAAGTTAACGTTAATTTCATGAAGTTGCATCTTTCAGTCTCGCTTTTAAATGTATTTTTTGGAAAGATTTGTATTGATCACACTGTAACAACTAGAAAATGTAAGTGGAATTAGTGTATAATCACCTATCAAACAAGAATCATGGTGTTTTTGTTACCTTAGTGAAGAATGAGACTTTTTTTTACAGAGGGAGAGGGTCTTCTTCTATGGAGGCCACCATGTTGAAACACCATGTTTCTACAGTAGCCCAGAACTGACAAACCAAAACACTGACTGGAGGGCCGTGTTTTTGTGCATTTCGTGGCCAACATAGTGTCTCCCTCGCACTTGGAAAGGGGGCTAGATGCCACTAAATCCAACACACTGGACCTTTAACTACATTATCCTGATTATACTTGCATATAACATTTTAACATGTAACATTTTCAGTGCAGGAGAGACATAATAAATGTTAACAGGATGGAGAGTCTGAGGAAACAGAAAAAACAAAGTGAAGAGAATATGAGCCGCAGTGAAAGACTAAAAAGGAGTTTGATGGAGGGATGCAGCGGCCACAGGTTAATGAGAACCAGACAAACACACTTTAGATCTGAGGTCCGTGTTTCAAAAAAATGTGTTTTTGATAAATGTGTGTAGTGTGTTTGTGTGATGAAAGCATGCGATAGCACACACCCATTGAGAAACCATGAGTCTGAAGAATGTTGCACAAAAGGATGTAAATCAATCAGCTAGTAAATCTACATGACACAGTGATACACAGTGGGACTGCGCTTAATTAGGAAAGTCATATATTTGTACGTCTACTCTCTTAGACAAGTGTATTTGAGAGGTAGGATTTACCGAAGCCAGATCATACTTAACATCTGAAACATGACAAGAAGCTCCATGTAGAGGCTGTTTTTTCATAAGGGGGTCAAGAAGGTTGGAAATCCCCGGTTTAATATTTCACAATGTGTTGTATTTTATAAGCTTATCCACCATTTTTTAACGTAAAATCTTAATTTGAACAGTAACTACAGCTGTCACCAAATATGATTTTAGGAAATGTGATGCACAAAACATCACTATAAAACCAGATAAATTCATTTAACCTAAAAAAAAACAACGGTTGAAACTGATTACATTGAAGTGATTTTAAGTGAAACTAACAACATGTTGTAAGTTAAAAAAATATTCTTGATCAAGTAGCTTTAGTAATTTTAAGTGATTTAAGAGATTCTGTAATCTTTATGTGTACTGTGAAAACAAAATACCTAGTAAAAAAGTACTTAATCAAGAATTAACTCACCAATTTGAGTTCGTGTTACTTAAAATTGTTGATGTAATCAATATTTGAGTTAAAAAAAAAGCCATAAAAAGACTTGGTTATGCATATTTCACTCAACTTAAACATCATGGAGAGCAGGAAGAACTAAATACTGCCTGAGATCAGAATAAGATTTCTCCAACCATGAAAGCTAATTAAAATGTGAAATTTAAAGATATTGGATGTTAAAGACTTGACAACGCTTCTTTTAGATTCACAGAAGACATTACACAATTGTTTTTATATGTTGAGTTATACTCTTGATGAATAGTAATGATCTTAGTGTGTGAAATTGGTGGATTTCCCCTTTACATAATGTATGATTATGTTATTGAGCCTGTCAGATTGTTATTCCAAGAGTCTGAAAACATTATGGAAAGGATCCCTACAGAGACCTTTATATTAAAGAGGAAGATGACCTACGGACTTATTTTTTCCACCTTTGTCATCCTGCAAGAGAAAAAGGATCTTTCTCTGTAGGGATCCTTTCCATAATTCCAATTCAAGTTCAATTCCAATTCAATTTTTAATTTGTAATTGCACCAATTCATAACAGAGTTTATCTCAGAACTTTTCAAATGAGAGCAGGGTCAGACATAATGTGGTAGACACTTAGAACAACAATATGAAGGATAAGCAGCGCAGTGACCAGAATCTGCAAGTAACAAACGTCTAATAAATTAAATAAAAATGAAATTAGATAAAAGTATTCAAAGACCTATGGTTCATCATGTTGAGCAATTTAAA